CATACCGCGAGCTCCCTCCCACGAACTGATAACTATGACTAGCCCCTAGCCTTTTTTCATGTGGGGGATTGATCTCATTGGCTCCTTACCGGTTGGAAGAGGGGAGTCAAATATGTCGTGGTCGCGGTAGATTACTTCACCAAGTGGGTAGAAGCCAAACCACTAGCCGCGATCACAACCAGAAAGCTTAAGGACTTCGTTTTCAGGAATATTGTGTGCCGTTTTGGAATCCCTCATACCCTCATTTCAGATAATGGAAAACAGTTCGACAATGAGGAATTCAAATGGTTTTGTGACGAGCTGGGCGTCCATAAGAAATTCACCTTTATGGTAAGACCGCAGGCAAATGGCCAAGTTGAAGCTGTCAACAAAACCATCAAGCACACTCTGAAGGCAAAGCTTGGCGCAGCTAAGGGGAATTGGGCCGACGACCTCCCCGAAGTCCTATGGGCATACCGAACAACTCCAAGGACCTCCACCTCGGAAACACCCTTTTCGCTGGCATACAGGTGTGAAGCAATGATTCCCGTCGAGGTAGGAACTGGTTCGCTTCGGAGAGACTTGTACAAGGAGACAGATAACGAAGCACTCATAAGGGCGAGCCTGGACCTTATTAAAGAACATCGCAGCAAGGCTTCGCTAAAGATAGCAGCCTATCAGCAGCGAGCGAAGAAGTTCTTCGATTCAAAGGTCCGGCGAAGAGACTTCCAGGTCGGCGACCTGGTGTTAAAAGAAGTTCTCCTCGGAACCAGAGAGCCAAGCGCGTGAGTTTTAGGGCCGAACTGGGAAGGTCCTTATCGCATTGATAAAGTAATCAGACCAGAGACTTATCATCTCAAAAGGCTAAACGGTTCCAAGGTACCTCAGGCCTGGAGTGCTGAACATCTTCGGCCATACTACCAGTAACTCCGAATTTAGCTTTCCTTGAAAATTAATTTCTGATTTTTTGTAAGTCATTTCTTTGTAAAGTTTTTATCTTGAGCATTTGTAAACGATCTCTATGTATAATCCATTTCGTGTGAATAAGTTATGTCATCTTTGACTCAATGAATATAAACAATTGGAAAGAACTCATGTATGATAAAGCGAACAGAAAATTGTAAAGGCAAAAATGTATTTCATTGCTATAAAGTACAGCAGGAAGGAAGACATGATTACAAGACTCAATCCAACCACTTCGGGGCCGACCTCCTCGTTCTAGGGTTGGTCGGCTGGGGGTTTGTTCCCTGCGTGTCCCGAACCTTCTGGTCAGAAGGTCGCCGCTTCATCATCCTCCCGTGCCATGGACATAAGTGTTTCTTGCCAGTCTATCGGGAGGTCGGACATGTCTAAATGAGGATTCTTTGGTCGCAAGGCATAAATAGAGTCGATTGCCCATTCGGCATCCTTCTCCTCAACCTCCTCTGTCAAGGATGCAACTTTCCCTTAACTCTCTTGAAGTTCAACTTCAAGAGCCTGCCTTAACTTCTCAGAGGCCTCTCTCTCCTTTCCTGCTCGCGCGACCTGCAAGGAAGTCGCTTTCAACTCCTAGTCCTTCTCCCCGGCCATTCTAGAGAAATTGGCTACGGTCCTTTGCAGCTCCTTTATCTCCTCTTTCTTCTTCTCAAGCTACGCTTTCTGGAAATCCACTGTGCGAAGAGCCGCGTTTCTTTCGTTCAAATAGCTGTTCGCCGATTCGAGAGACAGGTTTCTCTCTGCTTCGGTAGCTTCCAAGCTTCGTTTAAGCACTGCGTTCTCTTCCTTCAGGGTGGCACCTCCCTTGGCAGCTCCCATTTGTGCCTTTTCCATGGACATCTTCATGGAAATGAGAGCCTGCGAACAAAAGAAGAAAGAGTTAGGTAATCAAAAGAAGTTAAGTCCTCGCCAAGGACAGTTCGCTCACCTTGCTCATATGCTGGATCGATATGGACATAAGGTCCACGTCGCTGGAACTTGCGAACTGCTCGAAAGATTTCGAGAGTCCGCATTCCAGCAGGGCATACACCACCGGCTGCAAGTACTCCGGCAGATTCCCCAGCGAGTCCAATACTGATGGACCCTTCTTCGCGGCCTCAACAGTCGTCGTGTCGTCCATAGGCGCCTTGCCCGACTTGCTCGCATCCGACTGCGACCTCTTTGGTTGCTCGCCTTCGAATTCCGTATCTGATTCCTCAGCCTGAATCTGTTTCCTCTTTTTTCGCTGGGCCACAGTTTCCGTCCTTGGCCGAGCAGGCGACGGCTAGGCTACCTTCATGGTTCGCGTGGGTGCGTCCTCTGCTGGCTGTGGCTGTGGCTGTGGCTGTGGCTGGCTCGTGGTCGTGCCCTCAGCCTGGGAGGCTGTTCGTGCAGCTTCGGCCGCCTTCGCTTTCTTCGTCCGAGGAAAGTTGATGGGCATTCGGCGAGGTTGCTCTGGTTCCTTTGGCAGCATGGTTGCTGCTGCATGCAAGGCGAGGTTAGTGAAGGTATTTTGTTCCACGACCAAGAAAAGAGTCAGTTAAGGAAACTTACATTGTAGGGGTTCTAATGACGCGTTGGCGTTAAAGAAACCATACTTTCGCAAATTTGCAGCTGTCACAAGTGTCCTCGCGTCGCGCTTGTCTTCAGGAAGGGAGTCGAACTGTAAGATTCTTCTTCTATCGTGGAGCAGCCCTAGTTTAGTTGTCTTGTTAACTATCCAGAAAGGAAAATTAGGTCGTTAGAGCGAACACGCTTCGAGCGCAATAAGTTCGCCAAAAACAAAATAGAAATACAAACAAAGAGAAAGAAGCCTACTCGGATCCTGGAAGCGACAATGGCCATCATAACGAAAGAAGAAAAACTTCATTTCGTAGGCCCCCGCATTGCTAGGATAACTGTGTATCCCATCGGCAATGGTAGGTGGCCTGGACAAGTAATACGAATCCTTGTCATTGCTCTTCTTCAAATAATACGAGCAGCGATTTGTGGGTTTTATAGCACGTGGATCGGCGTTTGGATTTCCCGAAATTGAAACGACGTTCGAGCAGTAAAGGTTTCTTATCGTAGATCTAGGCCACGTGTCACTCATCAGCGAGGAAGAGTGAGCGATACGACTGGATGAAGTCAAACTTACGCCCTTCCAGTTAAAAAGCTTAAACGACGGCCATATCTCTCTCAGAGCATTAATTGCGTCTCAATTCTTCATTTAATGCTCTGATAAGGTGCACCGTTCCAACGCATGTTGCATTTAATGCCCTGATAAAGCGCACTGTTTCGGCATGCAAGGCATTAAATGTGATTGGCTGTCATTCACCACGCAAGGGGTATACCTGTCAGCGCAGGAATGGCTTCATTAAATGCCTTCCCGTTATCAGAATAAACGGGTGACATCAGGCAGAACCAGGTCGCCCGTCCTTGGGCATGCGAGGTCGCGCTCGTACAAATGCCGCTCCGACCTATTTTCAAACAGATTAAAGTTTTCAGGAATCATCTAACCGCGGTACGACCTGTAGTTTCTAAGGTTCAATCCTCAAACCTTAAAAACTAAGGGGCTTCTGTTACGCCTAAAAATATAAGGGCTGACGTTAGAACCCTTTAGCCCGCAAAAGTCAGACCATTGGAACAAGCACCGTCTGGGTCTTTTAGGGTAGTGGGCGCGCGTCAAGCTAGTCAGGAGGTTGTGGCGCTCCCACGTGTCTAATCCCTGCTCTAAATCACGCAAATCACTCTGGAAGGTGGGCAATGTGACATAAAGAAGGATTTGCACGGATAATCCCACCAAAACGCAGATTTAGTGATGATTGCCTCAAGGCATCTGACAATAAATCAGGAATTCATCTCTCATTAAGGGGATTCGCACCTTTTTTACTCAATTAATTACTCTTTCTCTCTTTTCTCAGCAATCAGTATCTTGTAATATCATTGTAACGTCAATCAACTAATAGCAACCTAACTCCTATCGTCAATATAAGTATCAGTGGACGTAGGACTTGTTACCTTAGCATTCGAACCACTTTAAAAATTGTCTTTATTGCATTTACTATCACTCATCTATTAATTTCACGTGTGATTTCGGGACCCCCTGCACCATTTTGCACGTGCATTTCGTTGGTGCAAAATCCAGCATCAACACTATATTTCCCTCCAATGTTTAATATTAGGGTAATATTTACTTTAAAATTATTTTGACATTTATGTATCTTTTACAAATATTTTAACATTTTCTTGACTTAAAAAATGGATTCTGTTTATTTCGAACACAAGAAAAAGAAAAAGAAAACATATTTTTTTTATTATTTAGGATAATATGTATTCGTTCTTATATATATATATCAAAATACTTTTAAAAAATAAGGACAAATAAATGAATACCAACAATTTAAAGATGCAAAAAAGCGAGCTAAACAAAGGAATTCCAAGAGAGATATTTCACATATTGATTGTTTGGAAACAATGGAACGGGGTAGTGTGCAAGTTTTGAAAAGGAAGGCCCAATACATGTACTAGGGAGGCCCATAACCTCTCAGGTAGCCGGCATATGCTAGACTATATCATGTACGAAGGAAAGAGGCCCATAGCCTCTCAAGTACTGGCCTATGCTAGACTATATTACCTAACCGAAAAAGAAGAGCCTCATCCAAAGTCAGCAGAGCCTGGACATCAATCAATAAGATAGGCTTCATCTAATCAACATGGGCCCTACTGGGCTGGTTTATGTCATAAAGCAATAAATGGAGGGCCCATGTCGAAGCCCACAGATTTGCTCCTACTCTACTCTTCTTCACAAGAGTCGAGCGGAGCGTCTGCTGCGCAGAAGTCAGAAGGCACTTCGACACGTCACATCTCCCCTTGCCCCGTGGGAGTTGGGACACATTGGTAATCTTACCTTCATCATGCCCCCACTCTTTTCATACAAATTCAGATGAATATTTTATTATTAAAAAAAAAGCGATATATTTTTCTGATTTGCAAAATTTTAAATTAACCAAACTAAAAAGCCATCAGTTCGGGTCTTAAATTCGCTCATCATTTTAGTACGTGAGCTTGGATGAAAGTATACGCAGTCTTCAAGTTCTAGAACTATCATTTTTACTTCAGCACCTATCAGATAATACATTTATAGCTTCATAAACCAGATTTTAAATTTAAAGGTATTTAAGTAAAGGCATCAATTTAAAACCTACAAAACTCTTAAGGACTAAAATGTTCGAAATTCCTCAATTAACCTTTAATGGACCCAGACACCCTTCCTCAATCTACCTTTAAAACCTTGATCAGGATCTCATCAAGAAACAGTTCCGCAGACTCACGCTGCTCCTCCACCCTGACAAAAACAAGTACCCCTTCGCAGATCGAGCCTTCAAGCTCTTAGGCGATGCCTGGGCTGTTTTATCCGACACACGAAGAAATCCACTTCGTCCTCTCCAATTCAGCAAGAGAAGGGAAGCCTACAAAATATATAGTTGAAGAGGCAAAATTGATCAAAAGAAATTTAAAAATGTCCAGTACGTTGACTTCGCATTAATTATTGTATCAATATTAAGGTTGCTTCTCAGTCTCGTCTCTTTTATCAAAATGCAAAAACATTGTGATAAGCTTAAACTATTGAATTGGGAGATAAAATTTATTTACATATGCATGACCCTATACTGATAATTAAGCTTACCCTAATTTGAGAGAAGTATCAGAACTGTCATCCTCTATAGGCGGGCCGCCGCTGCAGCTGCAAGCATTAGTAGCAGATTCTGATGACAACCCTTCTTCCTGGATTGCGATTTCTGAATCAGCTAGGACGAGGCTTTTTCCCTCATACAAGTTGGCCACCTGTTCCAAATTTGAGAGATCCCTCGCCATTTTCAAATAAAATGAAATAAATAAAATTATTATAATAGTCCACCAAAATGAATTCTTATACCTTCTGTTTTAGTCGTCTATTCTCCCCCAACAGTTGTGCTCCCTGCAAATAATACCAAGTTGAAAACTCAAGATAGAACTCTTGACTTATGATATCTTAATAAATAATAATCGACAGCAAACTGGAGAGGTCTCCAACCGAAGAGCCTTGATATATATATATTGCACACCATTAAATGGAAATTAAAGAACTTAAGCTATAGCTCATGACTGTGTCCTTAAAATTATAATGCAAACTGAAAATTTGCATGCACAATTAAAAATTATTAATATTATAAATAAAAAGATCTTTTGTGGAAAATTTTGATGCCAAAAAATTAGTCATTATATATATAAAAAATAAAAACCCTCAAGAGTGAAAGTACACATATTTTAGTTTGATTCATAACATTATTTTCATATCATCTATTTAATGAATTTTAAAGTCAATAATAACATAATGTATTTCCATGAATATCTCCTGTCTGACTTTGAGATGATCTCAATTTAATATATCCTTATGAAGAAACTTATTTATCCTTCTAGTACACTATTGCTTCTACCACAAACAGAGACTGCTAGCTTTAATTTAGTAAGAAAGATCATGAACAAAAGGCATAGATAGAATTAAATATTTGTCTTCTAACCTTTCTTTCAAGTGAAGAGATCTCGTTTATAATCAGTTCACTCTGATATGGAAAATAAAACTCATATTAACACCTGCATGAATAATGGTAAATATATATACTTTAGTCTGCAATAAAATTAAAAAAATACATACCTTTGTTTCAAGAACACGCCCAAGTCCTGATTCAAGCATGTTTTCGAGTTGTTGTAATTCCTCTATATTCAATCCTTTAAGATCTTCTCCTTGCATTTGTCTATTATAAAAGGTAATATTAATAATAAAGGAATTTTAGCTAACTTACCAAAGTAAAAAAATAATATAACTACATTAAAATATATACCGTAGTTCATGGCTCTTATCAGCAATTTCCTTACTCAATCTGATGTGGTTGCTATTTTCTAGCTACATAAGAATAGAATTGCCAGTCAGTTCTGATATGTAAAACTTGACAATTACTGGGAAAAAGAAATTTATATATGTGATGCCAAGTTAGCCAATGCAAGTGAATTGGTAATCTCTTCCATTGCAGTTTTTGAATACTCAACTAGTTAAAAATATGCTTAATTAAAAATTTAAATTAGTGAACCCCAAGCCTTTTAGAAAATTCATTTAAGAAATTCTAATGGCATGCCTATGTCATTTTCCTTTAGTCATTTAGAACCTCTTAAAAACGTACATAGCAATCATAGTTATGATGATAATCTAACAAAACTGATCAAATAAATTACCTGTAGTTCAAGCGATGGCTGGTCAAGTTTTCCGATGTTATTAGAGTGCAGATTATACATTGAAATTGTGTCCTTCATGCTGCACAACAAAATTTATAAACTAAATATGTTAGACAGGTCAGAACTCATAGCAGATTAGAGCACACATTGAACTGTTTGAAACTATACCGTAACTTATATGGCAAGTGGAGTTTCAATTAATTGCTAGAATAAAGATCCCATCAGCTGAGAAGGCATCAAACCCTATTCATAATATATATGATCTATATAGGATTATAATGATTTTTAATCTAAGTGAACTATCTATTCACCAAATGACATGATTGTTATCTGTCATTACGTCCAATCATCCATAATCCACCCCACATATTTAAGCATTTGCAATTAGTTATAACATAATACAACCATTCAACTGACATATTGACTGATAATTTAAGTGAAAATCAAGAAAACCTAGCCATTTGAAAATTTACAAGAGATGAAAAGCAATATCCAATTTATTATAAATAACAAAGTTCATTCACCTTAATTTAGCAAATTTATAACACAATGTTATGTTCTAGTGAATAAAAATCCGAACAAACTGTAACATTAGAGTCAAAAAGTGTCAGCATGCCTTAGAGATTCTATTTATAACAAGTAAGAAAGAACCTAATATGATATAACCACCTTCGCCTGCATAGAATAAAGAAGAATTTCCACAAACCCTTTCAACGTGACATGATGAAGAGAAGAGCTTCTGTTATTCAAATGAACTGACCGAAAGCCTATAAAGGGAGGTGGAGTCACATATGAAGGAGGATCACAGTTTAGGAGAAAACTTGGCTAAAGCAAATATATTTATTCATACTTATATCTACTACAGCTCACATTAAATGGCCAAGGCAACAACTTCTTATTTACCAATCAACTTATAAATTTAAGAAATGCATTTCAGTCAAGAGACTTAACCATGAAAACATAAAGACATGGTAATAGTTTATATGATAATTTATGTCTTAGGGTTAATCACATTTAACGGAATCTAGAAATGTACATATTGATCCCCAAATTCATGGTAGAATTCAGAACTGATGTATTTCTTTAGCAATCAACATGATGTATTTCTTTAGCAATCAACATATAGGTGCGGCATCCAATACAACTGGCACACAATTACCAAGTAAATTATAAAGGAAAACTATGAAGAATATTGTTCAAAGAATTAAGAATTGGTATATCACAAAGCCCATTGAAAACGTTTTCTTCATATTTTAATCTAACAATAATTATGCTTCCAACAAAGTAATTACTTTAACCGTGCAGCTCTGAGAAATAAGATTAATATCAAATTAATTATAAGAATACGAATAGTGTATGATCTTTATATAACAAATATTCCTCAAAACCCATCTATATCAGCTCAAGCAAGATCATGTTCACAACTATCACCTCAATAAACAGGTAACTCAATAACAAATAGGAAAAAACAAGAGATATTGTAATTTAACATAATAAATTACTTGTTCACTATAGTCATATAAAAAAAAATTAAGAATTCCACTGGGGTTCCAAGTTATCTATACGACCAATCAATGCATTTAAACTACTTCTGAAAATATTCTCTCTCATCAATCCTAATCATAAATGTGATCGAATTATTAATTTTAAAAACTATTTGGCAACAATATATTGGTTAGTGATACAGATGACGCAATACCTCTACGGTATCATAAATATTCTTAATCATGTTAGCACCTTTTAAAGTCTAAGTGTAAATATACATGATTTTTCCTTACAAATAGACATTTCCCATTGAATTTGGTTTGAGGCCATGGAGCCCTATTCTTCAAAGGTAATATCAGAATTTACTCCAAACTCAAATCTACCATAAGTCCACAACATTTTACCCTCACAAGGCCACACACAATGAAAGTTCTCAAAAGCTTGTTTATACTTATAGTTAAACTAACAAATTTCGGCTTAAATTGAAGAAAGTTAAATTCAACTTGTTTAGAATCGAGCACATTCATGCATAAAGTTCTTAAAAGCTTGTTTATACTTATAATTAAACTAACAAATTTCGGCTTAAATTGAAGAAAGTTAAATTCAACTTGTTTAGAATTGAGCACATTCATGCATATAAGACTCATTGATGACTAATGTAAGGTCAGTATAAATTTTGAACAATTTTTACATGGTTACAATCAATCTTCAATATATATATAATTGTTAGAACTTGACTCAAGTCTGCACTTCAAGAAGAATTTTATTTATCAAAAAGCCTATATATATATCCACACTCACACACAATTTATGAGATCAACTTAGGACCAACTAAACTCAAACATATCTATGAGCGATCAAATCAAGTTCAAGCTTAAAAAACTTACAAATATTATATACAAGTCTAAACGACCCAAAACTCTACCAAAAATTTTCAAACCCTTGCACAAACAAGTCTCATTAGAAGGTCAATTAGCTAGACTCTTTCACCTTAAATGAACTAACATTGAGCTTAATTTAAAAGGTCAACCAGAGTCTTTCACCTTAATTAAACCAACATCTAGCTTGATTTGAGCTTGGTTAATTCCTTTATTAGCCACATTCAAGTAAAAAGTAAAATTACTATTGGCCTGCTCGTTTTTGCTGACCAACTTAATCATGTTTATTAAAATGATAACACTCATTATTCAAATCAGCTAGCCTTTGAAACCAAGAAAGTTAAATGGCTGTCTGCTACCATGGAAACCCAAAAATATAGGAGGACTTTTCACGCGAAACCTTGAATGATAAGGATGATACCAAAATTCTCAAAAACTCAATAGGCTTTAAATATAAAAAACTTATGGCCTTATGACAAATTCATGAACATTAATCATAACTTTGAATATCAACAAGTAATCTATCTTGATTTTCAGCTAGTCTCACTGGATTATGAGAGCATAATTTGTTATAATGAAGACAATAAAATGTCAAATATTAGAACAAAACTATATCAAAGTTAAAGTAAAACTTTAATTCACTGAATATATTGATATTTACTCCTCCATTCTCCCTTCTGAGTAAAATCCTTCTTTCTTATCAAGATAGAAAATGCTAATTAAAATAAAACTTGTAACATCTACTTCAACCAGTATTCAATATTGTTCAGTTTTTTAATGAGAATATGATCTGCTTCATATCTTACATTTCGTTATTTAACCTAATTATGATATTTTTTTCACCAAGTACTAGCAGATTTTTAAATCATGAAATGATAACCATCAATTCCTATTAAAAATTAAAAATTAACAGCATTTTCATAACCATCAATATATAGGTCTAGAAAGCTGTCAAACTGACATACATAGATTACTTTTAATCTTGTATCCATTTCATACACAAACAAACACAATAAACAACCACTCTACCAAAAATGCACCCAGAAATTATTTATAATTTTACTGCTGAAATGATAAGATTAAATTTTAACTGCAAACCTTAGTATAAAATAAACAATTAAGTATTTATTAATACGTTAGTGGTAACATTATACATATACATTACTTACATTTAACCCTTAACCCATTCCCCATGCAATTGACTCAACCTGTGTTCTTTCGAAAACTATTTATACTTGTACAATATTTATGTTCTTAACTACCATAACAGAATCATAGATTATATAGTTGTATTCAAATATAGATACGTAATAAAAATGTAATCAAACCAAAACGACCTGAAAAATAAACTAAAATAATTACTTCATAGTTCATATATTTAATTTAAGACATATAACATAACTGTTATAATGTATACTTATATTTCTCACCTTGACACCAATTAAATAATTAAATAGAGGCGTACGTACATTCATTATATGGTTGAACTCGTTGAATATTTAAAGTAGTTGACCTCAAATACAGAGATGAAGTTATAATATTGGTGTTTATTTTGTTATTTTATGACAAAATAATAGGTCAATTAAGAATATGATGAAAATGTTTGAGACGTTGATTTCATGGGATCCGTATATATTTCAAGAAAAGTCACAAGGGGATCGAGACTCCGCCAAAGTCTGTACCCGCTGTAACAAGCAACCATAGAAATCAAAGTTTTGGGTCTGATGCGAGACTGCTGTTGACCAGAAAATCTAAAAATGCAATTCAGTGGAGGAGATAACAAAGATCTTGGAAGTGGCCGTGAGGATTTTCACTCTTAATTATCATAAACTCTAAAGAGTCCATAGAATTAATCAAGTCTGAGAGTGTGAACCGAAGTAAGACGTTTTCTTTGAAAGTGACCACGGAATTTCAGCAAAGAAATTGCTTTATTCCCTTCTGTAAATTTTTTTTCTTGCTGCTTGAAAGATCGAACGAAATGGGAAAGAGTAAAAACTTGAAGGAGTCTCTCCCACGCGCGGACAAACACAACGACAAAGAGACGAAAACACATAAACGCAGACACGGGAAGACAAAGGACCGAAATAATAGGTAGAGTTGAAGAAGAAAAGTTATAGATTTATCGTACGGAATTTTAATATAGGAAAAAAAAATGGAATGGGAAAATACCTGGAGGCGCTGCAGTACTCAAAGAGCTTGCCAGTAGCTGAGAAAATGATGAGAGCAACCTCGGCGTCACAGAGAACAGAAAGCTCTTCAGCTTTCTTAAAGAGACCTCGCCTCCTCTTAGAGAAGGTGACTTGCCTGGCCGTAACGTTTTCAATCTTCTTGATCTTGATCTTCTCTCTCGCCATTCTTCACCCTCCAAAAATCATCAACCCATAACTTTCACATTTTCTAAGTATAAGAAAGTAAGAAACCATACATATAAAATGGAACTAAAAGGGGTAAAAATGAAGTGGATTTTCTTCCAATTTATGAAAGAATCCTAGCAGAAACCCTAGTTAAAGACCCGGTTCAGATCCAGGTTAAGAAACCCAGAAAAAGTTTTAAAATAAAATAGAAAAAAAAAACCACCAATCATAACTCATGAACATGCAAACAATTACAGAAGAATGACAGATTAAAGATTTTAGTGTGTGGGAGAGAGAGGGGGTTTGTTTCTTATTTACCTTCTCCGAGTGGTGTTTTAGGTCTGAACTGATCTCACACAGCTACCAAAAGGCACTAAACTAATTGGAGAAAGTAATTTTAAAGAGAGAGAGAGACATAGTTGTGTGTTCAAGAAAGGAAAGGTTGCCTTCCCTTTTATAGCCAAACAGTATCTTTTTTTTTAATTATTATATTCATTTTTTTTAATATATTCATACTTAACTAAGTAATTAAGATAATTAATGATACATGGGTCAACACGATTTTATTTAAAACTTTGGTAAGTATTTTTTTTTTTTTTTTCCTTTTCTTTTATGTGGACAATCGCTTCCCGTACACACATAGCCAATTAGCCACTACTTAATAGGAATAATGAGTTGTACCTCCTACTCTCAACCATTTAAAATCCTGTTTATTTACGAACCGACGAATTTTATATTCTGAAGACCACCAATAGAGAGCAAATTTATATCATGAGAAGAGTAAAGAGTTAATTCGATACAAATTATTGAAGCTTTTAAAAAAAGGAATGCTATAGGGTTTTTGATGGTAAAATATTAGATTTTGATAATTGAGATTAATTAGACGATTATGTAAATCTTAATCGTTTAATTATTGATGATTGACAAGATTGATGAAAGTAAAATTTAAAAGGTTTTGATGAATGGTAATCGAGAAAGAGAATGATGGTGGTGTAAAGTTGTAATGATGTCAGAATAAAGAAGGAATATAAATTTAGATAGTACAATGATATTTTAAAAGTTTATGGGTGAAAAAGTATCATTAAATCATTATTTGGGTAAGAACAGATAGTTTACTCTTTATTTGTTGAGATAAATAGGGTCACCATTATATATTTACTTGTATTTTGACTATTTTCCTATTCATTTTCAGTTCCAATCAAATGTTTTGTTTATAATTATGAAATCAGATTAAAGCTATATTGAAGCTCGTAAATTCAATTAATTAATATATAATTTTTCTATTATTACTTTACTTTGTTGTGAATGTGAAGTGATAAATTGGGCTTGTATAAATAGAAATGAGAAGATACTTATTTTTAAAGTTTATGATTTAAATATTTAATATATAGCTCAAGATAATAAATCACAAAAATAGCTACATAATATGTGAATACATTTTTTTTTTTTTTTTAGATGATCAGGAGTATTCAAGCTAATTTAAGTACACCGAAACCAATCTCCCAAGACTCTATAACTATAAGTCGGATAAGAGTTTCAATTGTTCCCTCTACTAGCATCCAAAAAGAAACTCGAATTCAAAGTCTTTTTAGTTATACACCAAAAAGTTCCTATTGAACCGCTCAGCCACCAAAAGGTAATTGATGAACAAATTTTCGTATACTTGAAATTCATGTAATTTTCCTTTTTTCCTTTTTATAATTTGTCTATTATTTTTTTACTTCAAAACGAAAGGAGAAATTAATTTGAAATTATATCACAAATTTGTCTGGTTGATTACAAACTATATTATCTGTTACATTAAGTGATGCACACATATTGATAAAGCGTACATGTATTTATATTATAAATTATCTACATCATCAATAAAAGTATTATATTGTATGATACTTTATTTAAATTCCAGAATATTTGTGCTAAGTTTTTCTATCAATTAACTTTTAACGACTGAAATGTAAGATGTTTAATTAATAATTGACTAGTCGTTTAATATTCGATCATATGATTTATAACACATAAGTAAATAAACTTGATAATTTTATTTTTTTATAAAAGCGTAAAAAGGGTAAAATAAAATTTATTATTGGCATTGAGGCATAAATTTAAGAATTGATGTGATAGAGATTGCACTAGACTATAAATAGAATCGTCCATGGGTTTGATATAGTTTAGTTTTTGTTAAAGGCTCTTGTCACATCAGTCAGAAAAACAATGGCAATGTTTGGTTAATTATTATTACCCATATTCTGGAATTAATTTTCCAAACTATTCAAATATTAGCTTATTTTTTTAATTACTTTTAAACTTTATAAGATTATTAATTTCATAAATACTTCCTGAAATTTTTTTTAAAAATTAGTAAAAATACCTCTACAATCCATACTTGCCAGATTCTAGTAACCACCATCAGTGGGAGTCAGAATCTGTATAACGACCTACCTTCTGACCAGAAATAGCCAGAAGCTCACCAATCTGATTGTCTACGACGGCCAAAGAAATGGTCGTCGTTGACCGAAAATGACGGTCATATCGTTGGTCTTCGTTTTGGTCTTTTTTGGCCGTCGTGGTCATAGCAGACCGTAGATCTGGCAGGAAAATGTCATAACGACGTGTTACGATACAGATCCGACCGGTTTGTGTCATAATGCGATTTTTTGGCCAGATTTCAGCGATGGTGGCCGGAATCTGACACTGCAGGTGTTGGGGGTGTTTTTGTCATTTTATATATTAGGATGTTTAATTAAATTAGCAAATCTAGAGGCTTTTTCATAAATTTTTAAATTTTACCTCGTAATACTTCCCTATCAACTACCCAATATTATTCTCAAAATTCTATCCAAAATAATAAACCAGACGCACCCAATGTTATTTACCAATAAAGAGATACGTATCAATTTATGATGATAGATTAGATGTATTATTCTTCTGCATAATAGAGAGTAGTTATTTTTTTATTTTTCACGCTATCGTTTGCCTCAATATTTATTACAGTTTTTTTAATTAATAAAAATAATAAAATAATTGCTCTAAATAAATGGATGTATAGAAGAGGTGATAATCAAGTCAATTTAAATCATTGTAAAATTTTATATGGCCGAATATGGTAAGAATGATGCTACTTTTATAAATTGGAATTCCAACTTTAAATCTTAATCAATATAGCTATTTTTATAAGTCAATAGTTTATTAATTATCGAAAATATGACAAAATCCGACAATTAATATTGTACACGGCGATCTTAGCAAATGCCTCTAAATATTATACCTAAAAGATATTGCAGTGTAAGCAAAGATAAAAGAATGATAATGATAATCCTAGTGACAAGTGTGGGATATGAATTGGTTTAATTCTCACGTCAAAGCATATTTAAGGGAATAAATTTTGCATAAATTTAAGAGAGCAACAGAAAACTATTATAAGACTTGGCGAGAGATTCAAGAAAATCCAAGTGTGGGAAATTGAATACTAAATAACCATGAGTTCAAATGTGCAATTACTTCTTTAACCTCATATATTTTTATAGATAAAAATATCCTAACCATTTATACGGACAATACCCAAAATTTCCTAAGCCACCCAAGACAACTTTCGGCCATCGCTAGCAGTCGTCGGAATGGCGCACGACCAATCAGATTTGATCAATCGTGCGCCAATCCAACAGTTTTTGGCTAAATGGAAAGTCGAAGATGACTAGATGGTTGTGGATCTAGTCGAAAACAATCAGATCTATTCTGACCATTTTCGGCCAGATCCATGACTATAAATAGCTAGCAATCTTGCCGTTTTCAGCTAAATCCATGACCATTAAAGTAATAAAATAAAGAAAATAGTATCTATATGCATCTTAAATATATGAGTAATGCTAGAGATATACAGAAATATTACAAGTGATGTGGCTACTGTCAGGAAGAGTGAATACAAAAGTCAAACTCATCATATTCACTATTTCATTCATTTCTTATATTTGTATATATCTTTGTACGATTTCTTGATACATCTAACATTTTTTTTTTGTAACTGGGGTATTTGGGTCAGTTTGTGTGTATTTCAATTAATCTCCGTGATCTTTTAAACACTTGAAAAATATAAAGGACTAAATCAGTCACAATGTGATAGGTGACCCTAAAATTTGAACTTAGTAAGTCAATAAAGAGAGCAAACTTCCTTGATCACCAGATCAACTCCTTAAAGTTTACATCCAACATTATTGTAAATATAGAACATACAAATGTAATATAATTAATTTGATTATTGAAATTCTTACATGATCCGATCTACTTAGGAAGGATGTTCATCCGTAAAATAAATAAATAAATGCGCAAGAGAGTCCAATACCCTTAAAAAATGTTGGTAAGTGTTAATTAATTATAGCAAATACAAACCAAATCCACAGTTGAGGAGACCAAGAAGCTTCAGGTGGACACCTCACCAGATAAGATAAAAGCTAATTACCATTACGACTCAAATATTTTGCTTACATGTGCCTTGTGTCCTTTTCTTAAAAACGCGAGTCAAAATAACTAATTGTCAACCAATTAAATTTAAACCGATCCACTAGATAGCTTAGGGAGCTTATAATAAATTAATTAATTGTGAACTTTATGGTGATTCTTGTAGTAATCAAGATGACCATTTCCATTATTCTGAGGCCAGATGTCAGCATCAATGTGCACGCGTACTATGCTTCTTTAGAAAATTATTCTGATTTTAATTTTTCCATGATATTACACATTAGAAGAAAATGTCAAGTACATTTATCTTTCATTCTTTTTCAATCTTCATTATGAACGTATTTCAAGATAAAGAAACCAACAATATAATATTACTGAAGCAACAATATACGTCTTGTTATATTTCCCTCCAATGTTTGATAGTAGGGTAACATGTATTCTAAATTTATTTAGACATTTAAGTATCTTTTACAAATATTTTAACATTTTCTGGACTTAAAAAATGGATTCAGTTTATTCGAACACAAGAAAAAGAAAAAGAAAAACAGTTTGTTAGGGAATATATGTATGTTCCATAGATTATATATATATATATATATATATATCTTAAGGGTGTTCGGTTCTGGTACCCTACATTTTGGAAGGAACCGGAACAAACAGTTCCTTGAATTTTGGAACCGGAACTATCGGTGATACCCGGACCAGAACCTATAACACGGTTTCTGGTACCCTGTAAAATTCATTAACCCCCCCCCCCCCCCCCAAAAAAAAGTCTTTAAAATGATAAAAAAAAAACTCTTAAAACTTACAAATACCCCCCACTTGGGCACTTGTTAACAAAATTAAAATTATAAATTTCAAATTTCAAACTCCAAAATTAAAATAATCCATTGAAAATCACAAATTCAAAATTAAAATATTACAATAATCCGTTGAAAATCACAAATTCAAAATTATAAACTCCAAAACTAAAACGATGAAATTACATAACATATAAAATAAGTAACATAACAATTAACAACATCCAAATATGAAAAACTGAAAATATCTCATGCTCCATGCTCTAAATTGCTTGCCTCATGTGCATTAATTTCTATAAAATAAATACAAGAAAATCAATTAGTAAGTTCAAAATATTGAATACAATAATTTGGGAATAAATTAACTAAATATAAATATAAAAGATTTATATTATTTTGTTACCTGAGTCATAACTTTCTGCATCCATCAAGTAATCCTCAAAAGTAATTGGGGTATATGCATATCTCAACCAATCTTGTGTACAAACTAATGCTTCCACAATGGGTGTACTTAAAGAACTCCGAAAGTGATCAAGTACACGACCCGATGTACTGAAAGCTAACTCAGAAGCAACTGTAGATACCGGAATATCAAACACATCTCTTGCCATATACGAGAGAACCTTATACGTTGTAGCATTTACTTTCCACCAATCTAGTATGTTCAACTTAGACTTCACGGGTAGACATTTCTCCTCGAGGTAAATCTCTAACTCAGAAGCAATTGTAAATACCGGAATAGCAAACAACAACTGTTATATTCAAATGCTAAGAAAAACAAGACAACTTTTTTCTTTCTAATATTTCCTTTTTTAAAGTTTTTTCCTTTTGTAAACTTTATATACCACCAAGCACCATGTTCAAATATCGTCAAAGTAATTCCCTTTTTTATCTTAATAAAACCAGGCATGCATGCGTCTTTTAATTTTTCAGGGAACTTCATTACTTGCCCATCTATGGTATTATATCATCTTAACATTCTGCTTTTTATTTAAATCTAAATTGGGTGTTATGTAGCCGAGATATACATATACTTACAACTAGGTTTTTCACCTTTATCAATTCTTGGTTGGTTCATGGAGATTTCTTTGAAAAACCTAACCCTAACCCAATTCACACTAACCCTATTTGAGCAGCAGTCATGCATGGCAAGGTCCACAATTTAGTCCAAATTTCAAATAAAGTGGAAGTTTTGATTCATGATTCAAAAAAAAAAAAAAAAAAAAAAAAAGGCGTTTGCATCAAGAAATTGAAGGTTAGTTTTAAGATTTTAGGTGCTTGTATTTTGGATCCCATATGATTAAATTATGAATAATACTACATTTACAAAGTCCTCATACAAAGATATGTGTGTACAAAGTGATGTGTCATATTATGATTGAGATAGTGAATTTATAAAGTCAACTTTTTAACTAAAGTCAAATTCACTGTCCAATCATAGTATGACACATCACTTTGTACATATATATTTGTAGGAGAACTTTGTAAGTATAGTATTATCCTTAAATTATTCACACAGTATGTTTGTTTGTCAATTAGTATTTGTACTATAATATGCAAACGCAATGTGTTCGATATAATGCTCAACAGAAAGTTTTTATATGGATTTTGGTTCTGCTAGTTCAGTAATGCAACTAAGGTTACACTTCCAATTAAATTGTTTTACATATAAATGATAGATTTGACACATAACTTAACATGAGACTCACATCACATTGAATGATAGATTAAGCACATAATAAACATCAATAATTTACCCATGCGGATGTTATTAAGCCAATTACACGGCGTAAAACACAAAAATAACATTCAACAATTGAAATTTTTGCACAACACTTCACTAACTAATTATCAGCGTTGATATTTGAAAGAACGAAGACTCGTAATCGTAATATTAAGAACTAGTGAATGCAAAACTCATAACACATCTGAAAATTCACTTCACAATTAGCCATAATCTATTTATGGTCAAATAAAATTAAAAGAAAGAAATGGAAATAATCTTAAGAAATTGGAGTGCTTTAGTGTCTTCTTCTAGATTCCAAAGATCATGCTTCACCAAACTAGACAAATTAAAAGAAAAAAAAAAAAAAGCTAAAAATTGTATTAAAAATAGAGATAATTTGAGATAATAGCAGTCAGAGATAAGAGAATCGACACTGTGATGTGAGGCTGTGTGTGTGAGTGAACAGAGAGAAAGAGCGACATAGACGAAGAGAACTGGGAAGGGAAGAAAGAAACAATGAAATTTTTTGCCCTAATCTGAAGTTTTTATACGTGGCAGGTAAATTACGAACCCCCCCCCACTCCTTAATAATATTTCATTTCAGTCCCGGTTCTCGGTTCCGATTCTTGACTGTAGGAACCGATACCAGAAATGTACAGTGTCGGTTTCAGATTTTTGGAACCAGAACCTACCCGTTGACAATCGGTTCTGGTTCCTAGTACCCAACGGTTCTGGTTCCGAACGGTTCTTTTGAACACCCCTAATATATATATATATATATATATATATATATTAGGGGTGTTCAAAAGTATATATATATATATCAACATACTTTTGAAAAATAAGGACAAATAAATGTATACCAACATTTTAAAGATGCAAAAAACGTAAATTTGAGCTAAACAAAGGAATTCCGAGAGGGATATTTCACATACTAATTGTTTAGAAACGATGGAACGTGGTAATGTGTCAGTTTTGAAAAGGAGGACCCAATACATGTACTAGGGAGGCCTATAACCTCTCAAGTAGCTGGCCTACGCTAGTATATATTACTTAACCGAAAAAGAAGAGCCTCATCCAAAGTTAGCAGGGCTTGGACATCAATTAATAAGATAGGATCAACATGGGCCCAACTGGGCTGGTTTCTGTCATAAAGCAATAAATGGAGGCTCCATGTCACAACCTACAGATTTGCTACTATCCTAGGGGTGTAAACAAGCTAAGCCGAGCTTTCGACTTAACGAGCTCGGCTTATGTGCTATAGGATCAAGCTCGAGCCTATTGAACCAGGAAAAAGGGGCTCGAACTCGAGCTCGAGCTGGCTCGCAAGCTTGGCTCATTAATGAGCTCGCGAGCCTATACTCGAGCCCAACTCGTTAAGGTTTGACCGAGGTAAATTCTAGCCCTGTAGTCTGTTTTTCCTTCCAAAACTTGTTTGAATCCACAAATTTGCGTCAATTAATACCTACTACATAGCTTGCATCATATTAACCGTGATAACTATACAACAAATTACAAGTGTACCAAGTTTTCATCAAAATACAGTCTAGAAAATGAAAAAAATACAGTCTAGGAAATGAAAAAAACAACTATCCAACAATCAAAATATAGGTGGATGTCGTCTGTAGACAGGCTATCCTGTACTGAAACCACCATGTTCCCCCGGCTGCAAAAAATGTTAAATTTAGTATCTTTTTAGGTAACTAAAATGAATAATCATGCAACAAAACTGAAATGAATCAAACTTTTAGCTGCGTGTGCCTCTTACCACAGCCAAACCATGTACTGAATCCCAGGAACTTACGAGATAGGAAGTGTGATCACCAAAGGTTGCTCCTCTTCCTGAAAATGACATAGGAGGAGTAATTGAATTTAGTTAGTATAAATATAATGTAATGATTGAATTTAATCAAAAGAATATTCAATATAACTTACTTTGCACCCTTTCTTCAACCCAATCAATGTCCGACACTAATCGCATCCACATAAAAACATCTCCACAGTCTTGGGAGCCAATGACGATCAATAAGTGTCAATAACCCTACTCCCGGCGTTGAAAGCAGACTCAGAAGCAACCGTATTGATAAGGATGGCTCATATGTACGAGCTATGGCAGACATAATAGGGAACTTCGTTGCATTTGCCTTCTACCATGTCAAAGCATCAAACGCCGCAAGATCCCCCACACATTTATGACACCCCTCTCCCAAATAACAATCTAACTCTGATTTAGTTGGCTCAACCTTCTCGACCATGTCCAGAAACTCACTGAAATCATCCCAAACCTCACCGAACTTTTGATATATGCGTTCGATTACTAATGCAAAGAAAGAGAGAGGATATTCTTAATAAAATCAAGATAAAGATCGACCAAGGATCTCGCCCCTCTTAGAGGGGGAATGAATAATCTTTATTTTTAATTGTCGAAGAAAGAAAAAGAAAAAAATCAAAAATAGTCAATTTCCTGGAATATTCAATTTTTCATTATACTGGGACTCGTCTTTATCACACTTCTGTTTTCTTTGTTTTTTTGTTTTTCAAGAAAATTAGATCATTAAAAAAAAAAAAGCATTTCACAATTGATTTACTGAAAAGAAAAATCAAATAAGTTTTAAATCAATTGAATTTATTTCATTACCCCTCACCAACTACCTGAAGTCTGTCCCCTACTGACGTAGAAGCGCGGGCAGTAGTCAATGCTTTACTAGCATCGACATACTCTTCATAGACCTCATACAAGGCATCCCGAACACTAACAATATTTGCCGGCGCTTCAGCCTCAGGATATATCTTAGGGAACGCCCACTGAATCACCCTCATTTTCAGTCTAGGGTTCAATACAGCAAGCACAACCATCAGCAAATTACATTCCCCCCAATATTTGTCAAACTTTTGCTTCATTTTCCTAACCATGATCCTTATAAATTCATCTTCATGTTCACTCTTATTATCCAACATAATCTTGATTGAACAAACTTGTTTTAGAAACAAGTTTGATGTCGGATAATCACTCCTCGATATGAGATTGGTCGCATCATTGAATACCTTTAAAATTTCACAAACTTTCTCTACTTTGTCCCAATCCTCCTCCTTAGGACAATACTGATAACTGATATCCCTCTCCTCTAAACTAGCGAAAACACGTCTAAGCTTGATTGCCATTGTCAACATATCATATGTTGAATTCCATCATGTTTTGCAATTAAGAATAAGCTTGCGAAACGGCAATCTCCGCTGTAAAACAATCTCTGAAAACACATTTAGCCTACTCTCCGATGCATTTATATATACCACATTGTCACGGATGTCGTAAATAATATGTCTAATCTGATAAAGACTATCTTGAACAACAAGATTTAGGATGTGTGCACAACACCTAACATGAAACAACTTTCCCCCACACATGAGCTTCCCTGTAGCTTGGAAATTTTTCGTCAAGACCTTGACTGCTACATCATTAGATGCATCATTGTCCACTGAGATCATGTGGACCTTTGCTTCAATTCCCCACTCCATCAAATACTTGAATATGGCATCAGAAATGGCAACAACAGTACGGGGAGGAGGGAAATGAACAAAGTTCAAGACCCGTCTATTCAACTTCCAATTTTCACCAATCCCATGCCCAGTCAACACCATGTATTCCATCCTCTGATTGCCTAAACTTCATAGATTTGTGGTTAGACTTATCTTCCTAACACCCTTCAATATGGTCTTCAATTTCTGCCTCTTATTATCAAACACTTTCATACAATCATTCTTGAACCCGGACTCCATTTAGAAATCCCATACTTCAACATATTGTTCAACCCCTCTTCCTCCACAATAGAAAACGGATGCTCATGCATCAGCACCCAATGTGCAATCAGCTCCCTCATCTTAAGCATACTGAATTGGCCTCATAGAGTAGGAAGGATAGTATTGGTACCCTGAGAATTGCAATCAAAATTTATTTGTTGTTGCCTCAAGGAATCTTTTCTCTTCGCACACCTCTTCAAATGTCTATTGAATTGGGTCGTGCTTCCAGTGGCAGTCATTTTCAACTTGGTTTTACAGTGAATGCACTCCCCTTTCTTTGTACCCCTTGGGAGAACCACCTCCCTAAATTCTAACCACACCGCTAATGTCTTAGCTCTCTTCTTCCTCTATAGTGGATTGTCATTGTCTACAACATTTTTAGGGCTACTCACACTTGCTTCCGTACCACTTGTGCTTGCTGATAAGCATTCATAATATCTATATATTTGTTATATTTCCTCATGTTTTAATGGTTATAAATGCTTAAATCTTGGATTTTGATTATGTTTCGTATTTTGTGGAGTAGATTAAGGAGTTAAATCAAATTGAATTCAAAATCAAGAGTTTTGGAGAGAAAAAATCGGAGCTCAAAAAGAGATACATTCTAGAAGAGGATTTTGCTTAAAGCATGGGCATGTTCTGTTTTCCCAGAATGTTCATAAAAACAGTCAGCAGATAAAGCATGGGCGCGACTTAATAGATCAGAGATTTTTGACCTAGGGTTACGAATTTGTTGGAGAAAAGGATATGTATGACAGCTGGAAAGATTTATTTACCCTTTCTTAATCTCTAGGATTTGCCAAGGCTCCCTAGTTTGGTGGGATTTGCATTTAATTAGTTTCCTGACCTAGATAGGACAACTATTATTAGATGAGTTATAAATAGGGAGATTATTCACAAGAAAAGGGACATCTATCTCTACCTCTCTCTCTTCTATTTTCTTTAGGCGTTCTTTTAAATTATGTGTAGCTAAATACTTTTCTTCCAACTGAAGGATAATTGAAGTTTTGGTTCTTCAAGGATTGTGAGATCTAAATAATTTTCAGTGTTCTTTTATTTCTTTACTATTTATATATCTTCTATGTTTATTAACAATTATTGTCTTGATTGATTGATACAAAGGGCCCGTTGTTCAATTATCAGGTTGATAAATTGCCATTTAGAACTTTAAATCCGTAATTGTTTAAGTGTTCTAATATTAGTGGTAAAATAACATAGTTGATTATAAAGGGATTTTCGATTTATGTTATGAAGATGTATAATCTAGTCTAAATGAATCGAGCTTGTGTATTTGTTGGCTAGAATTGGTAGTCTCTCTAATTATTAATGCTGTCGATAGATTAAATCCTAAGAGCTTGTTTAGGGTTGTTTGTTGACAAGGGAAGTAATCAAAGAGCTTGTTTTGGTTATCGAGAAAGTAAGGAGAGATAGGTTGTTAGAGTTTGTTAATAACCATAACCAATTTAGTGAAGGATAGAAGATTTTATCCTTGTATCTGTGATCAATTCTTTGAACCAATTCTGAAATTATACCTTTGGTTGGATATATTGCCTAATATTGATTCCTCCTTAATTTTTAGTTGATTATAATTGTTTTCTTTTATTTCACTTCGAAATTTCAAAACCCCCTTTTTCTTTGCTTTAATTTTCATTAAAATAAATCTACCCAATCTCTGTGGATACGACCTTGCTCATCACTATTACAATTTGTATTTATTTGAGAGTGAGAATTTTATTATTTGTTGGATTCGATACCCACCACTTGCATAAATGTTGCATCAATCAACTGCTCTGATTGTAACACAATCGTCGACGTCATCCAATGTAGGGGTGCTTGAGAAAGTATCATCCGAGGCTATTCCTACAATTGAAAAACCAAATCAACACTCAAGAAAATAAAAGTGACATGAAGCAAAATAAAATAAAATAAAATTACATAAACCAAATGTAGGCGACCTCTTTCGCTCTTTGAATATTTCCCTTACTACCTTGTAGGCTACCTTACTGCCGTGTAGATTGCCTCTTTCCATTTTTGCGAATTGGGCTAGTCAAGATAATAGGCTTTACCTTGTTTCAATATATGATGTTTGGTAGCCTATGAATATGGTTTATTATTTTCTTGCCAACACAATATTTTTAGAATAGCAAATTTTTGTACGAACATGCATTATTTGATTATTTATTCAGTATAAATAAATTGAATGAGTACATATTTATCACATATATACTAAGGTGTCCTTGCCAATGATAGTGATATTATGTTGGTAATATTTAGTTGTTCTACCCCTTACTAGTCAATGTGAACTGCTTTTGCACCATTTCAAAAGAATATTTTTTGGACCCATAACTTTGAACATATCATTTGAATGAGCTTTTTGAGCAGCCATCTTGAAAGTTTGTTCAAACATTTTATACATGGATCTAAAATCTTCTCTAAAAATTTGTAAAATATTAAATCATTAATACTGTAAATTAATATGCTTCTTTTATCTATCAGATACCAAAAATCCACAATCACAGTCTGTGCCATTTAAAGGAAACCAAAAAGCAGAAACACATCTCATTAGTCATATTCAATATATTCAATCCTGTTTAGGATTAACAATGAAATGTAAAACCCATCCAAATAACATGTTGCATATCATGTATTTATGCCTCACCTGAAGATTTCTCACTTGATAAGGGCAACCAGTAGTGACAAATACAGCTTGCTCTAAAAGCTGTTCAAACAACCACAACTCCACTCCTAAAACAGAAAGTGAAGAACTATTAGCACTTAGCATTGACCCAATTCATCAATGCGTTAGAAATGAAACATTCAAGAAAACAAAAATGGCATCAAAGCTCACAGATACATATTGAAAATTCTTCCCAACTCATGAAATAATTTTAACAAAAATGGTTAACTCACCAAATTCTTCCCTCAATTTCTGATCAGCGACAGAAAGAACACATGATTAGGGGCGTCACTTTCATGGTGGACTGAAGATTTGAGGGTAGAAGTGGATTCGGGGGTGAAGAAATCGTTTCAATGTTTGCGGGATGGACTGAAGATTTAAGGGTAGAGGTGGATTTGGTGACGGCAACATGACAGGATGGAATTGCCTGATTCACGGTGGAGGGGTTTAGGGTTCTTTTGCTACTTGGGGGAAACTAATTTGGGGGAGAAAATCGTGTTATACTATTTCTAATTCAGGGGGTAAATGTCATTTTTTGAAGTTTTTTAATAATACAATTTTACAGATCTACCCACATGGTTAATAAAACTAACCCAAAGGTCCCTACAAGTTCGAGCCACACTAGGCTCGCGAGCCGAGCCTCCCCCTGATCAAACTCGACTCGATCACCCCACCGAGTTCGAGTCGAGTTGACTTGACTAACCACGAGTCGAGCTCTTGACAAGCTCCAAACGAGTCGAGTCAAGCCGGCTCGCGAGCCGTTTGACACCCCTATCCTATCCTACTCTTCAATACTTTTTATAAGATTTTTCTGTACTTCTTTTTTTCATACATGTTCAGATGAATATTTTATTATTAAAAAAGTGATATTTTCTGATTTACAAAATAGTAAATTAACCAAACTAAAAACATGGAACTGCTATCAGTTCTGGTCTTAAAATCACTCACTTTACCGGTTAAATTAAACCATTTTAGTACGTGAGGTTTGGTGAAATTATTTATAGACGCAGTCTTCAAGTTGTAAAACTGTCATTTTTACTCCAACACTTATAAGATAGTGACATTTATATAGCTTCATAAACCTGATAAATATTATATAAAAACTGAATAATCAAGAGAAAAATTGACAGTTGAAAATACTCTTAATCATAATGAATTTCCGTGTCTTATATTAGCTTTATAATCAAACAATTTCAATTATGATGTTCACTCTGGTTCATTATTTGGAAAATTTTAATTTAATTTTGGTTCTATTTAAAAGGTATTTAAGTCTTTTGAAATAATTTTATCAAAGTTTACTTAGTAATAAATTTTAACGATAACCATATGAATATCACAAGTTATAGATCAAAGCATCATTTTTAAAACCTACAAAACTTCGAGGACTAAAATGTTTGCAATTCCTCAGTTAACCTTTAATGTGCATTTGTTTCCCTATCCTATTCTTATTCTAAATCAAAATGTATATTTGTTTCCCTATTCTCAAAATCATATCCTAAATTATTCAACTATTTTTAATTTTCAAATCCTACCTTGTAATAATCACCGAAGTCTACCTAATAATAATATTTCAAAAATACTACTCCAAATAACTAAACAAGCGTTTGCTTCCCTATCCTATTCTTATTCCGAATCAAAATGCATACTTGTTTCCCTATTCTCAAAATCCTATCATAAATTATTCAAC